CAAAACGTTAAAAAATGTTATATATATATATATATATATATATATATATATATATATATATATATATATATATTAAACAATAAATTTAAACAAATCTAAATACTTAAATATATAATTAAAATAAATAAAAAAATAATAAATAATAGTGAAAATTACATAAATGGTCCATGTGGTAGAAACATATTACATAAAACATCCTTATGCATGAAGGGCAAATAAGTCATTTCACATAGGACTTAACTGAAAAAGTTAACACCGTTAGTCAAAAGGACCGTCTTTGCACGATTTTGAAACCACAAGGACCATCTGTGTAAAGAATTCGTCATAAGGACCATAATTGGTCGATTTTGTCAACCATGAGGACCATTTATGTAATTTTGTCTATTAAAAAAAAAGACAAACAATGGATTAGTTTTTTCTACAAATTGAGATCAGTATTAATACAGTTTTATATAATTTTTTTTTTTGGGAGTTAGAATAAAAATAATAAAAAATTTAACTTTTTTGAAAACGGAATAAATTCTTATGTTTTTTTATTAAAAATGATTGGTAGTGGATTGTTAAGGTGGTGATATTTTGGATTTAACTAGGTTACGTAGATAAAAGAGAGGGTAGTTAGTTTTTTAGATGGCTAACTTTGTAGAGCTGACAATTGATCGATTTGGGTTGTGTTTGGGTTCAAATCATCAAATAATTGGGTTGACTATTTCAACTCAAACCAACATGTTTGTTAAAATAACTTGATATTTACAACTCAACCTAACATTTAAAATAATTAGGTTGTCACCAGTTAGATATATTTATGTAGTTCTCAACCCAACTTATTAAACAAATAGGTTAAACCTTTTAGAATTTTTAAAAAAGTAAATAAATTAACTAAAGATTACACTATTTTAATTAGTTTCAAACTTAAATAAAAATTCAAATTATGAAAAAAGTACAATCATAATTCACAAATACAAAGAAATTGTTCAAATAATATTAAAAATATTTAATTTTAAAGTGATTATGGAATAACATGTGTTGTCGGTGCCAAGAAAAAAAATAGGAATTAGGGTTGTATTTTCTTAAAACATAAATAATAATATAACATTGTAATTTCTAAATTAATACTTAGATTAATACATGATAATATTTAAATAATTATGAAATTAAATATATATATATATATATATATATATATATATATATATAATATATATATATATATTATATATATATATATAGAGTCAAGATCAAATAAGAAGGAAATTTTTGGTGGGAAGGTAAGAAGTTTTTTTTCTATATATTTTTTTCGCGAACAAACAAAATGAATTATTAGATGATTCATTTGTAAGATGATTCACAAGAAAAAATTATCAAAAAAATTTCTTACCGGATCTATATCCTATATATATATATATATATGTATATATATATATATATATATATATATATATATATATATATATATTATATATAATATAGGATATAGATCCGGTAAGAAATTTTTTTTGGTAGGAAGGTAAGAAGTTTTTTTCTACATATTTTTTTAACGAACAAAAAAATGAATCACTAGATGATTCATTTGTAAGATGATTCACAAGAAAAAATTCTCAAAAAACATCTATATGATTCATTTTTAAGTAAATTAAGGAAAAATTCACTTTTATGACAATTTTAGTGAATAACAACAAAATCATTATATAAATGAATCATCGAGATGTTTTTTTGAGAATTTTTTCTTGTGAATCATCTTACAAATGAATCATCTAATAATTTATTTTTTTTGTTCGCGAAAAAAATATATAGAAAAAAAAATTCTTACCTTCCTACCAAAAATTTCCTTCTTATTTGATCTTGACTCTCTCTCTCTCTCTCTCTATATATATATATATATATATATATATATATATATATATATATATATATATATATATATATTAAAAATGGTATTTAGGTCCCCATTTTTCTTTTTAACACAGGGTCCTTAAAACCAACGATCCAGCCCTGTATACGTTTATGTGCAAAAGGTGATGGTAGAGTGATATGTTTGCTTCTCCTATAAGCGGACGTAACGTTCATTAACATTGTTTGCCAACTTATTCATAAAAGACCACGTAGTTATGGGTAACCGGTTACCACTTGTTTACATGTTCAAACCCAATAAACGAACCAAATATTGAAAATGCCAGATTTTATTATCCCGAAACACGTTCAAAGATAAAACCAATATTTTTTTGGAAAACCAACATTTATGCCATTTGCCCATAAAAAACGAAATCATATTCACAAACCAAGAGATTTTTGCTGGTAGTTTAACTGTATAGTTAATTTAGTAATCCAAAACTAAAATAAGAATTTACCATTAACAGATTTCACTCTTACGTTGATATAAAAAAAAAAAGATTACGTAATCTTTATAATCAAGACTTTCTTTCCTTTATTAAATTTGGAACATAATGTTAACATAGTTTTTACACTGTATATCTAATTTAGGGGCTGGTGGATATTAAACTGAATTCCCAATCGTTCGATATTTGACCCTGGCTCGTGAGACTGTAAGATGGGTAAGTTTCTACTTCATAAAACTTCATCTTTTTATTTCTTTGAAAGTCGTTTGGGAAAGAGATTTAGTCTCGATTCTGTTGTTTAGGGTTTCTTTTCTTCATTCCAGTTGAAAACATAGACTTTGTTTTTGGGTAGTCATTATCAATCATTATATCCACCGGAAAACAGAAATCAGGAAACCGATTTCCAGAAGATTTATTAGATGCGTTTAAAGATAATTGAATAGTAGCTAATTATGTAAGGTAGAACGAAGGGTAAAATCTAGTTTTTGCAAGTAGAATGTATATTTTGTAGTTATGTAATTTGTTTTAAGTTGGGTTTTACCAGTGGAAGCCATTGATGCAAGTAGAAGCTTGAGTATAGACCAAAATTGAACCCAAAAGAAATTGTATGCCTGTAAAAATTAAAATAAAAAAATAGATAGGTGAACACCTCTAGAGTTTCGTGGCATCAAAAGTATCTATTAAATTCCCATACATCCTTTTAACTGTTTTCATTGACCCATTGACAGAAAAGGCCCTTCATTCTTCAACCTCATACGACAAGTTTCTACCTTTGCTTTTGTATAGCTGATATTGCTCTTATAATTACGGAATAACCTCTTTTTATAGCAGCTGAATTCACGTCCTTAGATTTTCCCTTTGATATTCTATGGCCCTCTTTAAGCCATTATGTTGTTGAAATCACTTGGATTATTATCTATTTGTGTTACAGTATTTAATATGCGAATCAAATTTCCTAAAAAATGCTTACAACCGTTAAATCATAAGTATTGCAGATAATTTTTTTTTTTTTTTTATCATGAGTTTATGGTACCACGCCCAAAACCTCCGTTGGAATTAAAAGGAAATTAATAAGAGTATTAGTCTATTAGAAATGTGAATATGTTCAGTGTTAACTGTTTCCTTCCCTTTCTTTGAAATAACTTACTCCTTTTTTTCTTCTTCTATGAATCTGATGACAGAGAGTAACGGGAAGGTTGTCAGTTGTGTTGGAGAAGATAGAATCAGTAACCTGCCAGAACACTTGATAGATTCAATCTTAGAACGGATCCCAGTTCAAGACACTGTAAGGACAAGCATTATATCAAAAAGTTGGAGGTACAGATGGACCAAATTGAAGGCTGTGGTTTTTGATAAAGATTTCTCGAATAAATTTGCAAAAAATGGAGCTTTTGGTCGTAATGGGTTTGTCAGGATCATCAACCAAGTCTTGTTCCTTCACAAGGGTCCTATCTTGAAATTTCATCTCAACATACCAAACATGGTTCTTGATAGCTTCCTGGAAGTTGATCAATGGATGTCATTCTTATCTAGACAGGGTGTTACTGAACTTGTCCTTACTAATTTAAATCAACGTTATGAACTTCCTTCTTATCTGTTTTGTTTTCTAGAATTGAGAAAGTTGGAACTGCAAAACTGTTTCTATAGCCACTTGCGTTTGAAGGATTTCTCAATCTTGAAGAACTTTTTCTCAAGGATATCGATTTTGGGGCTAGCTTGAGTGGAGCTAAGGTCAACCTACCACAGCTTAAGAAGTTGTCCCTGTATTGGTGCACAAATGTTTACAATTTCAATATTAAGGCTACAAAACTGCAGTATTTGGAAGTCCTAACTTGCCCTGATGCTATGTTGATCCAGTTATTAGGCAGTCCATGCCTTTTTGAGGTTGTGATTATTTTGCAGAACCGCATACAAGATTATGAACAAGCTGAAAAAACTAATTTGGCCACAATTTTTAGTAACTTGCCCACAGTTAGAACCTTTGGTATCGACAGTTATTTTGTTAAGGTAAACTTTTTATGCTCTTCCTCAATTGAATTTTGCTCAGAGGGGTATGTAATTCTCATGTTTATCAGATAATTTAAAATCTAACTTTCATTTCACAGTTTTTGGCTGCAGAAAAGATTCCTAAATTGCTTCCACATCCGATTAGTAGTTTAAAATGTCTCTGGTTGCTGTTTTTTCAACTTGGTGATTTGGATCTACTTCATGCTGCTCTTTGTTTGCTTCGAAACTCACCCAATCTGGAAAGTCTGCATATGTATATGCTGGGCATGCAGGTGGTAAAGTAGCAAGTGCTAAAATTATATAATTATTTTGCTTACATGATACAAGAGTTGGGAGCTAAACTGCTGTTGCATTATGGTGTTGTTTCAGGATCCCCGAGTAGATGTGGGACCTGCTTCAAATCATTTGGAATCCCCAAACTGCTTGGATTGTACATTGGATCAGTTGCAAACTGTAGAGATAACATATTTAGAAGGATCAAAACCAGAACTGCTTTTTATAAAGCTTCTTCTTGCTCATTCCCCTTCTCTCGAGAAGCTTACCATCACAACAAGTGGAGATCTTGATGCTAAAAAAATACTTGCCATCTCAAAGGATGTTATGCGCTTCCCTCGAGCATCACCAAAAGCAGAAGTGATCTACTTGAACCCGGAGACATAATTTTGTAAGAATGTTTAACTACATTGCAATTTAGCTCTATAATTCTGTATTGATAAGTGTACTTAAATTATCTTCTATTTCTTTTATTCCCCTTGTCTGTTTTCCCAAGGAGTGATTTTGATGACAATGGCAAGTTCGTTGGATTATTTTGTTTTATACTTTCGTCTCTATAAGTATGTACCTACTCGTACTTGAATTTTGCTTCTCTTTGGTGTGTGTTGATACTTGTAAATAGTTAAAGAAGAGATTGATGATTTCGGATTTTGAATGAAAGGTAAGGCTTACAATTTATAACCTCCCGGTAAAAGTTGACTAAGAGGTGTTTCATTTGGTTATCCACAAAATATGGCATCTAGGAGAAAAGCTATTGGTATCAACTATTCTGATTGAGTAATGATACTCGGTTAAGATCGGAAAATAGTTATCATCATCCCTCAAACTCCTATAAGTAGTTGAAAAATTAATGTCAAACACCGTTTTACTGGGTCATGATAGCATCGAGTCTCATCTTCAGTGTCATTCAAATACAAACTAATTTCCTATGTTATAAGTTATAACTTAGTAGATTTTTAATGTATAACTAGGTGTAAAACTCGTGTATTATACGTGTTGATTAAAAAAAATAAAATATTAAAATGTAAATAATAAGCATTTTTTAAAATAAAACTTTGAAATAAGAAATGAAATTTTGAAATAAGAAACATATTAATTGCAATTCAGTATAATATTTATTACATTTGATAGTTTACATATATAAGTATAAGTATTATGTGGTTTTTTAATTTTAAAAATTGAAAAGGAAAACCATAAATTGAAAGATGCATATTATTTATTTAAAAATATCAGAAAATGACAAATGTCAAAACTCATTAGAAATTGACATGTGGCAGAATTATCTTCATTTATTATAGTAAGAAGAAGAAGATGTCTTAATAAGAAAAACAATAAACTTATAATATTAGATAATTGTATAGTTTTTCTTTTTTCAAATACAATGTTGTAATAGGATGGAATGAAAATACTTGGTTATAATGAACGTATGAAAGTAATTTGTTGCTTCTTGAATATAATCCTAATTTAAAATCTTAATTTAACATTCTTACTTTGCAAATATTGAATGTGTTATAAAAAAAATCCTCATTTTGTGGTTAAAGTGTGGTTTGCTAATAGGCCAGTCGAAAAAACCCGAAACCCGTTCTACCCACCCGACCCGTTCCGAATTTGGGTAGAATGGGTCGGGTAGAACGGGTAACGGGTATGAACATTCGGGTAATAGGTTACCCCGATAATAATATAGGTCGGGTTTTAGGTATGAATATTTATTTTCGGGTATACCCGAATACCCGAATTCGTTTTTTAAATAATACCAAATATACAATGCAGTCACGTACGCACACTTCAAATAAAACAAAACCCTTCGTTTCCTTCTTAAAAACGACGACTCGACAGTCGGCACAAACTTGCAAATGGAATACGACGTTGAAACTGAAGTCACAAACCATCATCACAATTCTCAGTTTCTCACTATCGCACATAATGGAATTAAAAAAGTACATAACATATTATAATGATTTGTATTGTTATTATATATGTACTTGTTAATTTTATTGAGTATTTTCCTACCCGATTCTTTATTAAATCAACCAACATGTAAAAATAAAAAAATAAAGAAAAAAAATTATCAATAAGTGTCATTAAGAAATTTTCGGGTATACCCGATAACTACCCGACCCGACCTCAAACCCGAATACCCGAAACCCGAAAACCCAAATTACAATATAGGTCGAATATCGGGTATTATTTTCTTAAGGAAATACCCGATCTACCCGACCCGTTCTACCCGAAACCCGAGAATTTTACCCGTTCGACACCCCTAGTTGCTAAATGATCTAACATGATATTTTTTATTAGCTTTATTATACTTGTCACGAAGACCATACAGATAGCCAGGTGGTAATGGTATTTTAAAAAACGCTAAAAGTTTATTGTTATTATTATTATTTTCCTTGTATAGCAGTGGAAATGAATGTTGAGTTTTCATAAAATATATAGATCATACTTTTTCACTTCAAGAGCTTGGTCCGACCCGATTTAAGGCCTAAGTCAAACTATATATGAGGGTGTTCAAAATACCAAATAATCAAATAATTAAAACCAAAAGTATAATATGGTTTATCAATTGTATTAAAATAATGTACATGTGTAATTGATGTGACATATCTCTAATGTTTTTACCTTAGTCATTTCCAAGAACATGCCTCACCGCATTAGATTGCATTTTAGGATCTTAGCACACAAACGTAATAACTTTTTTACCCATGCAGTTGTGGCCAAATCAAGATTTCGAAAAACTTGAGCAACCTAATCATAAACACCATTTCACGATGTCTTTAGTAAAACAAAAAACAAAATGATACAACCAATTTTGGATACTTAAATTGAATTCTAACTTATAGTCCACAAAATAGAATAAAGAACAACACCTATAACCTTTTTTTGTAACATCCCGATTTCCAGGAATGAGAACTAGGGGATTTTATGCAATTAAGGAAGCCTACTTGATGAGTTGGAGGCCCCAACTCGTAGTTTACGAACTAGTCAGCCCGCGTGCATTTTACGACGTACTCAACGAATTGGAGGACCCAACTCGATGAGTTGGCGCTGTGAGTGTCTGAGCTTGGAGGAAACCCTAATCTCCACATTGTGTGAGTGTGTGAGCTTGGAGATGTTCTTTGGTGCCTCTAGTTGAAGAAACTTGAAGAATTAGGAGCTTGGAGTGAGAAGAAGCTAGTAGATCCGGTATCTACTTCGGGTTAGCATCCATTTGAAGGTAAAAAGTCGTTACCTTGACCACCTTCTTGTTAGATCTCTTCATACGAGAGTTTAGGATCATTTTTACCCTAATCTTGTGTCATTTCTGGTTTTGAACACATTAGGAAGTGTGGAGTTCAGATCTAGACTGCTCTAGACCCTTATGGACATAAAGTTCCCGACTTTAGCAAGCTATGTCCCTTCTCCATGCCCCAAACCTCATCTTAGACTTAGTTTTGGTGCTTTAAGCCTTTTAAGGCCTTGCATACACGTAAAGCTGGCAACTTTACGTGGTAACTACACCCTAGGGGGTTAGATCTATAGTTTGGAGCTTTGGTGTTGCTTAGTAGCGTCTGAATGAGAAATGGACTTAAGGAACTCGACGAGTTAGATAGCCAACTCGATGAGTTGAGACGGGTTTTCCCGTTTTCTGGATTCTGCATGAACTCGATGAGTCAATAAAGTGACTCGATGAGTGGTTAGGATTTTCCCCCGATAATCTGGACATTTCATGGACTCAACGAGTTGCCTGGCAACTCGGCGAGTTGACTCAGGTTTGCTGTTTTCTGAGTTTTGGAGGAACTCAACGAGTAAGTAGTTGGAGTCGACAAGTTGGGTCAACATGGACTGTTGACCTTGACCATTGACTTTGACTTTGACCAAGGGTTTACCAAGTTTGACTTCTGAGGGTATTCTGGTAATATGGGATTTTGATGAACTTGGTCCTATGATGGTTATAGGTGGTGGAGTTCATGGCTGTGATCCAGGAGTTTGATCTTATCACTATAGTTCGACGTTGTGAGGTGAGCTCTCCTCACTATACCATAGGGTCTAAGGCACCAAGGCCGACCCTTTGAATTATTATTCGGATTTTTTGGTACTATGACATGTTAGATAGGCATCCTAGTAGATAGGAAGGTTATATATTGTGTGATATGTTAGATCGATATCCTGGTAGATAGGATGACGCTATGCTTAGTGACATGTAGCTTGGTCTAATTTTCTGTATACTGTTAGGTGATTACCTTTTATATGTGCACACGTTTGATTGGTAGTTGAGGGTATTCCATCCCGAAGATGATTGGACCCTAGTATGTTGTCTCTATAGACCGTTATATGATTATCTGATATAGGTGCACATGTTTGATTGGTTGTGGGCATTCCAACCCGATGGTTGTGGGCTAAGAGTATTCCATCCCGAGGATGATTGGACTCATAGTATGTGGGCATTCCAACCCGATGGTTGTAGGCCGAGAGTATTCCATCCCGATGATGATTGTACTCATAGTATGTGGGCATTCCTACCCAATGGTTGTGGGACGAGAGTACTCCATCCTAAGGATGATTGGACTCATAGTATGCTGGCATTCCAACCTGATAGTTGAGGGCCTGGGGTATTCCAACCCGATGTTTGACTAGACCCATAGTATGTTGGCATTCAAACCCGATGGTTAAGGGCCTGGGGTATTCCAACCCGACGGTTGATTGGAACCATAGTATGATGTTTGTTATGATATGTGCATTGTTGTTTGTGTTAGTATTTTGGGGGTAACTCACTAAGCCTTCGAGCTCACATTTATCGATTATTGTTTCAGGTACAGGTAAAGGGGATGACCGCAGGAAGGCGAAGGCGTGACCGTACATACTTCCTCGATTTATGATTGTGATTTCAGGGAAAATTCTAATATTGATTTATTTTGAAAACAATTTGTAAATAGTACCGATTTTGGAAGATTTTTCAAACACTTTATGAGCTTGGGATGATTTTGAAAAGTTCAAAATTTTTATGAATTTTTTTATGGATGTTCCAAGTTGGTATCAGAGCCTTGGTTTGATTGAATTGGAGGAACATTCATGTGAATCCGATCTTAAACTAAGGAAAAGGATTTTTACAAGATTTTCAAAATGATTTTTTGATAGTTTTCAAAATAAAAGAGGATGCGAAGTGTACGATCAGCCGGAGCTAGTAAGTAGAACCCAAAATATCATACAGTTATCTGATATCGTGATTTGTTAGAACAACATGCTAGTGATAGGGTAGGGATCTTCAGGAGTTGCTTGATAGAATTTCCTGATTATGTGATGCCTTAGTTCCTATAGAGTTTCCTTATTTGGCGGTTATGTGACTCTTTCACTTGTGAATTAGTTATTGAGTGAATGCACTAAGTCACATGCTACATGGGTTAAAT